GCCGGTCTCTCTCTTCCTGAGTGGATCTTTTGGTACACTAGAGACGGAAAAGCCTACAAGACGAAGCGGGCTGCGCTGAATGCTGGGAAGAGCACAGCCAGTCATAACGAAGCAGGAAATAACAGTCCTGTCCAGTCGTGGGGGCTATTGCAGATGGGCAGGTCTCTCTGAGGAGATGGCATCTGAGCTGACAAATGAGGAGCCAGAACTGGGGTATTCCAGGTGGGGTCAGGGCGTGAGGCCTGTGGCTGCCCCCTCAGGGGAAGCTGCTGAGCCTGGCCCTGTGGGAAGGGTAGGGGAAAGGGGTAGAAAGATGGCTCAACCTGTGGCCCCAGCTCTGGGCGCCTCTGAGTGCCTTGGCCCAGTATCCGAGCTAAGAGTGTGGGGACCTGGGTTCTGGGTTTAGTGCTTGGAAACACAGCCCCTTCTCCTCCTCTGCTGGAGAGGGGAAGCTGGTGCAGCTCAGACTGCTAAGAAGTGCTGGTCTCACCACGGCTGGCAGAGGGCAGTGGCTGCCACAGTGCAACCGGGCCTGGCAGGCACTGATGTCTCCCTAATGGAATGTGGGCGGCCAGCTTCCTGGGAAAGGGAGGGCTGGGCCACCTCGTACCTTTCTAGTCCTCAGCGGCCCCAGGCCTCTCCTGGATGGGGCGGGGTGGGGCGGGGCGGGGCGGGGTGGGGCGGGGCGCTATGCAGGTGAGCCTGGGCAGGTGGTCCTTCCTCACTCCTCTGGGACAGGAAAGGCTCTCCCAATGAGCACATTGGCTGCTATTGGTACCTTTGAGCACTCACCTGTGCCAGGCACTGGCCCGGGTTCCTTTCAGGAGCCTCATCTCTTTAAAGCTTCACAGCCATCTATGAAGCGGGGGCTTTATCTGTGGGAGGTTGCCCCAGACCACACAGTGAGGGCAGCGGGCTTGTTAGCCGTGCGCTGAAGGGAGCAGGGAGGGCACAGCAGGGATCTGCAGAAGCACCCAGCTCGCCTCTGAGTTGTACAGGCGGAAAAGCAGCTGTGGAGAGGGGACACACCTTGCCCAAGGCCCCCTAGGGACTCGCGGCCGCTGATCACAACAGGACTTGGTTCAATAGGAACCGTGAAGCCCTTAGCCTCTTGAGAGCAAGGACCCCTTTATTTCCTCCTCCCTCCCTCACTGTGCCTCGCACAGGGTGCAGCACAGAGCAGGTGCCCCAAAGTCCTTCAAGATGGTGAAGCTTTCATTCCTCAGTAGCTGCAAGCACCTGCTGTCATTCCTCTATCAGCATTTAGTAAGCACCGACTGCATGCTTGGCGCCCTGCTAAACACCGGGTGCACAGCTGAATGAGACACAGTCCCTGCACACAGATGCTTTATCTCCTGGAGGCTTAGGGGTTATTGTGTATTATAACACGTGCTCTCATAGTTTCCTCCTTCTCAGCTCAGGCTTCCTCAGCCCGTGGTTGGAGGCTGAGAGAATCTGCTCCTCCCCCAGGCCATTTCCACTCCCTCTGTGCCAGCCTGAACACCCCCCCTCTCCAAGCCATCTCCCTCCCCTCCTCCAGGAAGCCCTCTTGGACTAAAACCCCCCAGCTGATCTGCAAGCCCCAGTGCTGAGGTCTTGAGCTCTGCCCAGGTATCTCTGGTTCTATCTGTCTCTCTGTTTTTGTGGGTCTTTTCTTAGCTCCCCACTCCCTTAGCCTCCAGAGCTGCCCAAACGCAGGGACCACTTCCCTTCTAGCTGTTTTCCTCAGGCCTAAATAAACCAGGGGCAGGGACAGGAGGTGGGGGCCGTGCAAGCACCCCCAGCACATGGGGCCTGCCTTTGGCTCTGGCCTTGGACCCCCGTAGAGGAAGCTTTCTCTGGAGTTACCGGATACTCACTTGACAGTCCTGCCCAAGCTCTCTGAGGCCTGACCTTCCGTGCTGAGCGGGGGGCACAGGCTGGGCTGAGTGTTGGTGCCTCCTCAACCCCACCGCCCTTTGTGTTTGCAGGTGGGGCCTCCAGTCTCCACCTACTGCAGGTTTGGTCATTTCTCTCTCTCTCTCTCTCTCTCTCTCTCTCTCTCTCTCTCTCTCTCTCTCTTTCTTTTTAAAATATTTTTATTATTCCATCTTTCTTCTTCTTTTTAAAAAAATATATTTTATTGATATTTTACAGAGAGGAAGGGAGAGAGCTAGAGAGCTAGAAATGTCGATGAGAGAGAAACATTGACCAGATGCCTCTTGCACACCCCCTACAGGGGATGTGCCCACAACTAATGTACATGCCCTTGACCGGAATCGAACCTGAGACCCTTCAGTTCGCAGACCGATGCTCTACCACTGAGCCAAACCGGTTTCGGCAGGTTTGGCCATTTTCACGGCCCTTGTGGCAGGCAGTCTGCAGGTAAAAATGGTTCCGTGGAATCAACATGCTTCCTCTGACTGCTGGGTGAGCAGAGTGACAGCGCTGGGCCTCCCTGGGCCTCAGCTAATGACACCTGTTCTGCCGCCTCACAGCGGCGAGCAGGACCAGAGATCGAGGAGAACAACCCAAGCCCAGGAAGGGCCTTACTCTTGTTGTGCTCAGAGCAGGGGCAGCACCCTAGCACTGGATTGCTCCAGAGGGCAGGAGTGGGAGGAGGAGGGAGGGAGCTGGCCCAGGAGCAGGAATCACACTCAGCCTCCTAGAGATCCACTCAGATCTGCCAGCAGCAGGGGCAGGAGAGCGCCCTTGTTTAGTAGGGACATTGTGGTGTCCTTTCTTCCTTCCTCCCTCCCTTCCCCCCTCCCTCCCTCCCTCTCTCCCTCCCTCCTTTCCTTCCTTCCTTCCTTCCTTCCTTCCTTCCTTCCTTCCTTCCTTCCTTCCTTCCTTCCTTCCTTCTTCCCTTCCTTCCTCCCTTTCTTCCTTCCTTCTTTCCCTCCTTCCCTCCTTCCCTCCTTCCTTCTCTGTGTTCCTTCAGTGTATAAGGCATTGCATTAACTACTTTCATGAGACATTTAGGCTAGGAGACCTCAGTTGGGGAGGCACATTATTCATTTATTCATTTTACATTTACTGAAAACCTTCTATGGGCCAGGCACTGTGCAAGGTCCTGGGGACGCAATGGGGTCCAATGTTGCCCCCAAGGAGTTTAGAGACTTAGGGGTCAGAAGGCACAGAAGTAGACCACTGAAGCATGGCTAACATCGAGGGTGAGGGGATCCAAGTACAGAAATAAGGGTTGGACAAATGTAATGTCTTCCCTAAGCATCTAGAACAGAGCCAGGCGCAGACTAAGTGTGTGCTCAGGTAATGCTTCTGACACGAATGACCCATGTTTGGAGGAATTTCTAAATAACTTATGAGTCAAAGAATGAAATCATTTTAACTAAATGCTAATAAAAATGCTACATTTGAAAATGATAGGGAGCAGTCACAAGGGTACATAGAAGGAAATTTATGGTCTTCAGAGTATCTTATATTAAAAAGGAAGAAGGATGGGAAATTAAATCATTCAACTCAAGAAGTTGAACAATGATAAAAATAATCATTTCAGCCGGCTGGCGTAGCTCCGAGATTGAGAGGCAACCTATGAGCCAGGATGTCTCAGTTCGATTTCTACTCATGGCACATGCTCTGGTAGCAGGCTCAGTCTCCAGCGTGGGGTGTGCAGGAGGCAGCCAATCAATGAAATGATTCTCTCTCATCACTGATGTTTCTCTCTCTCTCTCCCTCTCCCTTCTCTCTGAAATCAATAAAAATATGTTTAAAAAGTATAATTTCAAAGAAAGTAGAAGGAAGGAAATAACAATTCCCACCTGAAGATATGGTTACTGATTTTAGAGAGAGAAGCAGGGAAAGAGAGAGAAACATCATCAGTTGGTTGCCTCCCATACATGCCCCTATTGGGGACAAACCTGAAACCTAGGTATGTACTCTGACCAGGAATCAAACCCGCAACCTTTTGCTGTGCTGGACGTTGCTCCAACCAACTGAGCCACCCGGCCAGGGCCAAGTGCTATATATTTTTGACTATGGAATTCAGATTCAGAAATTCAAATTAGTATTTATAAATTCAAAATTCAGAAATTAGAATAGAGAATAGAATACAAAACAAAGATAAAATAAGCTAATTGGCTCTAGGCCCCTCCTGGATAGGAATGTGGTTTATTCACCCGGCTCTCGGCTTACTTGCCTGTATTTGGTTTACCAACCAGTGGGTTGTCTTTAATCCATAATATCTGCTGTAATAACAATGACAACATCACTAATAATCCTTCACATTTGTAGAGCTGTTCAGAGGTGTGTTATTCCTGATAGGAATGAACATAACTATTGTCAGATCCTCAAGTGCCCTATTAGGTAAGTAGGGAAGGTATATGCTCCATTTTACGGAGGAGGAAACTGAGGCTCATATTTCTGAGGTCTCAGTGCTTCCAAGTTCCTACTTTGCCCCTAAGATTCTTGCCTTTGAGACACAGGTTCTTCCTTCACTTCTGATTCCTGGTTTACCTGCACAAGCCCCTCTCTTTGACCTTCTTCCCTTGGCCGGGAAGCCCAGAATGGCCATCGTGAGTAGAGAAGTTCTCTCTCAGGTTGACTGTGAGCTTTCCGAGGTGGAGGGGTGGGGAATAATTGTAGGTATCCTAGAACAGGGCTGGGCTTGGAGAAGGTCCTCAATTCTTGTCTGTTGATCTAGAATTTGACTTAGCAGGATTAGGCCTGTACCCATCAGAATAGATTCTGGCCAACCCCTGCTGTTGTGCTTGAGAGGGAACCCGATACCACTTGGGGGAATACCTCATTTCTATGCTTGCTAAGGCAGCCACAGAGTGCCTGGGCCTGTCAGGAGGCACGGGGAATGTAGGTCAGCCCTGGTGCAGCTCCTTGTAGGATGGTGGGGCAGGAGACCTTCCGTGCCCGAGTTGTATTGGCCTGAAGAAGTAACTGGGTACCTGACTCCCTTTCCTCATAGCTGGGGAATTCCCAAAGTCCTGGGGTCAATGTGTTTGACCAGCGACTGACCAACCCCAAGAGGGATGTACAAATACACACATAGCTTTAGCCGCGAACAGATCTCAGTACTTTATTCATCCCTTGGCAGGGAGAAGGGGGCTTTGCCCCAAGGTGGTCAGCCAGTCGGGTGGGGTGGCTAGGATACGTTATCTATTCAAGTAGAATATAGCACTGATTATGCAGAAAAGGAAGGGAAGCAATAAGTTAACAGCCACATAAGTTATGAAAAAATAATATATATATATTTTATATGTATCTTGTATCCCCACTGAAAATTTGCTCCCTTGGAAACCAATAAATAGGCAGAGAAAAAGCAGCAATCAGCACCCTTTGCGATCTCAGGATGAGTGTGTCTGAGCCTGAGTCAGTAGCCCTTCAGCGCCCCCGACAGGCCTGGAAGACCTGAGCCCTAGGAGGAGCCACGCCTCCTGGGAAAGGAGATGAATGAATCCAAGACTGGGGCTAGACCAGGAGGGGAGCAAGGGGCAGGCTGGGAGGAGGGCGGGAAAGAGAGGAGGCGGCTTGTGGAGTGGGAGGCTGACGCTGCCACGGTCCCCTGCGATCTACAAAGATAAAAGCCAAGAGGAAGAAAGAGGAGCGCCCCTCCCAGCCCCAAATCTTATCGGATGCAGAATTTCTCTTTGGCTGTCACTGGGGCTCAGAAGGTCCCAGACCGTCCTGGACTGTGCCTTCATCATGGCCTCGCCAGCCCGGAGGAGTCAGGGGAATGGACATGGAGGGCGGAGGGCGGAGCGGGGAGAGAGAAAAGGAGGAGCTCTACCTCCACAGGGTTGGGGTGTTCCTGGGCTCCTCAGTGAGTGCAGAGGAGGGCAGGGCCAGGCTGCTTGGCTTGATGGGGAGAACAGAGACGCTGAGGAGGGACTCATGGGAAATGGGCCCATGGTTTCAGGACAGGGGTGGGGCCAGGCGCTGGTACACCAAAGCCAGGTTTCATGCTGGGGTGGGGAGCTGAGGGAGGGGCAGAGAGCTGAGATCGCGGGCAGGGTGGTGAACCCCAGGATGCAGGGAGGGGAAGGGAGGACCTGATTCTGCGGCCTGGTCTCAGGCTGCCGTCCAGCCTCCCCCCCGCCCAGGGAGTTCGTCATGGCAAGAATAGCTTCTGGAGAAGGTGCTGGGCGCTGCTTGGGCAGCCTGCCCGTTTCTGTGTGACCTGCTGGGAGGGCCCCGCAGGAGGAGGGAGGGCACAGGGGTCTGGGCTGATCCCAGAGGCCCAGGCTCAGACCTCAACGCCCAGGGAGCGTCCTTCCCTCGCTCCCTAATACTGTCAGATCTCTGGGGAGCCCAGGGGGTGCAGGAAAGCCAGGGCACCCAGCCTCTTCCCCCAAAACTTCAGATCCTCACTGTCCTGGTCCATGGCTGGACTGGGTGAACGGGGGCACCAGCCTCGCGCAGAGGTTGAGGCGAGGTGAGGCCAGGCTTGGGATGTGAGTGTGGGGCGAGGGTTGGGTGGAAGGGTCAAAGGGACCGGCCCGGAGCCCTCTGTTGCGGGGGAGTCTCAGAGGAGCGAGGAGGTGGCGGTGAAACGGACCCCCATTCCAGTTTGCCCGTCAGGAAGCCTCTGGCCGGAGGGTGGAAGGCGGAATGGGAGGCACTGGTGCGGAGCGGAGTGACTTTGGAAAGGGGTGGCGGTCCTGTCCCAGCCCGGGGAACCGGGAGAAAACACTCGTGGTTTGAGCTCCTCTCAGTGCAGAATCGAGTTGGCCTCCCAGAGGCTCTGAGGAGCGTGGTGAGTCTGGCCCCAGGCTCTCCGCTGCAGGGCGCCTGGGCTCCCCGTCCGCCCGCCTCACTCCGAGGCCTCGGACTCCTGCAGGAGGAGCTTCTCCGACATCTCGGTGATTTTGATCACGGGGCCGCTGTTTTTCTTCTTCCTCCGGAAGGGGGCTCTGGCCAGGTGGGCCCTGGTGGCCGCTACTACAGGGAACACAAGGGGCGGGGGAGGGGAGGGGCTGGAGGTGTGGGAGCCCCTTAAAGTGATGCCGGGAGGGCCACGACCCCCACACCCCGCCCCCCTCCCCTCTGCGGGGCAAACAGACTCACCCGTCCTGGGTCGGGACTGCACAGTGCTGACCACCGCGGCCGGAGCCAAGTCCATCCTGGGGAAGGAGGGAGAGGGTGGGCTGAGAAGGGAGCCTGCGGCTTATGCTCCTCTGGGCTTGGGGCCTGGGGACTGGCAGGCAGAGGGCGACTCTTGGTTGTCATGCCCAGCCCTGGGCTGCCCTGCGGTGTGGCCCTGGCTAGCCAGCGTGCCCTCTCTGGGCCTCTGTCCCCTCTCCCGTGTGTAAATGGCGAACATATACCGAGTGCTTATTGGAGACAGGCTCTTACATGCAGAATCATGAATCCTCTTCACCACAGGGTGGAGCGTGCTTACGATCAGCCCATGTTCCAGATGGGAAAATGAGACTTTAAGAAGCTGGGCCAACGTCTCAGTTTGTACGTGGCTGAGCCAGGACGTGGACCCAGGCCCGCCAGGCTCCCAGTATGGTGCTGGAGGGTGAGGCTGGCTCTGCGGGGCGCCGGTTCTCTGGTTCTCCCTCTCCCCCCACCGCACCCCCTCGGCCCCACCCCTCACCGGCTCTCCTCGCCCTCCACCAGCTTGCGGTAGGTGGCGATCTCGATGTCCAGGGCCAGCTTCGTGTTCATGAGCTCCTGGTACTCGCGCAGCTGCCGCGCCATGTCCTTCTTGGCCTGCTGCAGGGCCTCCTCCAGCTGGGCCAGCTTGGCCTTGGCGTCCTGGAAGGCCAGCTCCCCCTGCTCCTCCGCCTCCTTGATGTTCTCCTCCAGTTTCAGGCACTGCAGCCAGGAGGACAGAGGGGAGGGTCAGCGAGCAGGGGTGAGAGGGAGAGAGCGGGCCAGGCCCGGGAGCCCACCTCACGGGACGGGTGTGTGAGGGGAGGGAGGGCTCAGCAGGCCGTTCCTGGGTGTGGTAGTGGGTTGCATGGCAACAGGGCGTTCAGAGCGACCTGAGGAGACACTTTCCGGAGGCCACCAAAGAGGCCACCCGTCTCAGCTGTCCTTCCCGGGCAGCACTTGCTCTGAGGGCCCATCACTCGCTCCTCTCTGGGAGGTTGGCGGGAGGTGGCAGGCTCTGGGCGTGCGTGGTGGGGGCTCTCTAACAGCCGAACAGCCCCGGCCGGTCCACAGAGCCCTCTCCCAGGCAGATCCTGTGATTCTCAGAGCCATGTAGTAGGACAGGGAGGAAACGGAGGCTTAGAGGTGCTCAGGGACCTGCAGGTCACTTAGACCACTCCTCTTGCATGTACTCAGCATGCATGAGTGAGTGTCTGTGTGTCTATGTGTATGAGCGGTGGGGGAGGGGGGAGGGGAAGGGAAAGGGAGAGAGGGGGAGAACATGTGTCCCCGTGTTCCTCCCTGCTCCTACCACCCCCAGGGGATCCTCCAGACTCACGTGGCTCTTGACGGAGAGGATCTGGGACCGGAGCTTCTGGATGCGCACATTGAGGTCAGCAATCTCGCTGCGGCTGCTCTGGAGGCTGTTTCCAAACTCGGCTGAGCAGGCGGCCCGCTCCTCCAGCTGGAGGGCAAAGAGGAGGTGGTGGGCAAGAACTGCTCACTGTGTCCCCATTCCCCTCCTACTGCCCACCCCCCCCAGTACCCTGTTTCTCACTCCTTGCTGCTCTTTTTCCTCTCACCCCAGCCCCCTCCTCTGCAGCCATCACGGCAGCCAGCCTCCCCGCTCCTATGCCCTGTCCTGCCCCACCATGCCTCCTACGGCTGCCCTAGACTGAGCCGCACACGCTGTGCCCGCACCTGGCCTAGCACTGCTGGGTGGCACAGCACCCTGAGCTTCTGGGGGGAACAGACTGGGCTCTCCCGGCCCACATCGCCCCTTGGGGCTCAGCACAACGCTGAGCTCCCAAGTCTCCCCGCCTGCCTGTGAACTGACTGCTGTGGCCGCTGCCCCTGTGCTTCCCCTCCGTCCCCAGGATCTCAGACACGCCTGAGGTGGCCTCAGCCGCCACCCGTGCAGCCCCTGCTGCCCCGGCCGCCTCTCCCGCCGCGCGGTCAGCCACCAACCTGCCTGCGGGAGTACGCCTCCGCCTCCTCCTGGCTGCGAGCCGCGATGGCGTCATACTGGGCCTTCACCTCCTCCACGATGCCGCTCAGGTCGATGTGGCAGCGCCTGTCCATGCCCACGGTCACGGACATGTCCTTCACTTGGGCTGCCAGGTCCTTCAGCTCCTGGCGGCACAGACGTGGGGGTTCAGGGCTGGTGGGGGCGCCCCTGAGTCCTTTTATCCCCAAGGCGAGGGGAGGGTAGGCTCCTCTGTCTTCCTGCAGAGACCATCAGAGCGGGACCGCCTCTCAAGCTTGCACTCTGCTTGCCCACCCTGGGACTTTCCTCGCTGAGCAGAGGAGAGGGGCCCAGGGAGGGCTCCTGGCTCCAGGCCTACCTTGTTCTGCAAGCCTAGTTCTTCATCTCCCCACTCTCCCCTGGGCACACACCTTTCTCCTGGCTGCCGGACATTTGGGCCTGGGGGAGGTGTTCTCTCTGCTCAGGCTGCACCGTTGTGGCTCAGTGATGTGCAGCTTACACCCCTCTTTCCCCCAGATGGGGAGCTCCCTGAGGGCCTGCAGAACCTTCACCCCCAGGCCCTCCACATCCCGTAAGGGAGCAGCTCAGTTTGTTGATACGTGTTGGGAGGGAAGCCCAGGAATGCTGAGGGGCAGGAGTGGGACCAGAGACTGACAAGCCTAGACTCCCCTCCCGCTGCCAGAGGCTGAGGCCGGAGGGCATCGGGGTCACCCCAAAACGCGGGCCCCTCCCCATCCAGCTGGGGGGCTCGCCCTGCAACAATGACAACGCGATTCAACTTCAACATTTCCCTCCTCTCTCTGTCCTATAGGGTACCTCTCGGTCCCTCCTCTCTGTCCTCTTCTCGGCTCAGAAAAGGCCAGAGTGGTAAAGCCTCCCATGTTCCCAGGGCTCACCCAGGCCCGGCTGTGTGCTGAGTGACCCCCGGGCAGCCTGGCATTCCACCCTCACCAGGCCTGCAGGAGTGTGAGCCCAGATCACAGACAGGAAAGGAGCCCGGAGCAAAGAGGTTATGGGGACACTGGGGATGCCCCTTAGAGGGGCAGAGACAGGAGGGGAAGCGGCTGTCCTTCTAGCCCCAGACTGGCTCTTGCTAGCACAGTTAATAGCACGAGGCCTGAATGCTCAGGGGTGTGCAGAGAGGCAGGTGGGGGCAGGGTCTTCATAAGGGGCTGTGAGGTGTCTCCTCTCTGGCCCTGGCTGCTTCCCCTGGAGGCGCTAAAGACCTGCTGGCATCTGTTGGGGAGTGGAGGATGGGGGGAGGGGGAGAAGGAGGGTGGGGACCCATGGGAAGGAGGAGGCCAGCATGGTACAGAGTGAGTCAGGTGGCCAAGGCTCCTAGAGGCCGGAGGGGGCCAGGCAGTGGGGGCGAAGCTGTCCTGGAGGAGGGAGTGGGGTGCAGACGTAGTTGCTCCCACTGGCATTTACAGCCCATCCTTGGCCTCTCCTTCAGGCATCAGATTTTGTCCAGAAAGCTATATATATATATATATATATATATATATATATATATATATATATATATATATAATCTTTCTGATATATTTATATATTTTTACTTGTTTGTTTGAATCAGGATCCAAGCAAAGTGCATATACTGCGGCTGGTCCATATGTCTCTAAGCCTCTCTCGCTGTATACGCAAGTACCCCTGCCATCTCTCTGCTTTTTTTTGTTGCTGTTGTTGCTGTTTTTAAAAATTGAGAACACTGGGTTGCTTGTCTTGAAGCGCCCCGCACTCTGCATTTTACTGATTGTCCTTTGTGCTGGTGCTTAGCATGCATCTCTGCCACTGCATTTCTAAAAACCGGCAGTTGGAACTGGAGGTCTGCTCTGGTCCAGGTTCAATTTTGGCTCATGACGGAATGCTGACCCTGTTTCCTGACTTTGGGCCTGTCCTTGACCCTCCACCTGTCTTTTTGCTCAGAGAGGTTGTGTTTGAGCTTCTGGAGTCTCTGCCTGCCGAGGCAGGTACCTCTGACCTGCAGCTGTAACCCTGAAGCCATAGAATGCAGGGCCCGGGTGACTCAGCTAGTGTCCCGTGGGCCGCTGAGTAAGCCACCCTCCCCGTCTGCTCACTGGCCAGCTCCGCCCACCAGCATCCCTGGTGACAAGGATGGGCTCCGGAAGAGGAAGCTGGGCAAGGCCGGCATCCTGAGCCTCGCTGGAGCATCCATCCTGTCTCTGCCGCGAGGCTGAGGGCCCTGAGCCCAGTGGCCAGCTGCCCTTTAGGGGGTTTCCTGACAAGGGTTTTGGGTGACCTTCAGATGAACAGAGATCCTGGGTCAAAAGCAAGGGAGGGCCTGCCCCGTGCCAGAATAAGGTTAATGGTGCCCACAGACTCACACCCACCTCTGCCGCCCCTGGTTACCACGGAGGCTGGCATTTCCCACATGGAGCCCACATCCCTGCCAGGCCTGCTCGGCGGGGGACAGAGATTGCAGCTATGGGGCCTTCGGTCACCAGGTGGCGGGGGTCAGCGGGTTCTGAAGAAGGCCCTCCATTAGCACTGCCAGCCCAGGCCTAGGTTGGCATTTGTTTCAGTTCGGGAACAGGCCTGAGCACTGTCAACACACACAGTAGGAGGGCTTCCCCGCCAGAGTACAGGACTGGCGAAACAGCTGATGGAGCAGGGTACGCAGGAGCTTGGTAAACAGAAGCAGGAAGTGGAGGGTTTGGGACATCTGCAGGCCTGTTCAGACACGCCAGCCCCACGGGGCTGCGCAGGGTGGAACAATGCTGCCTTGTGTGGCGTGGCAGTGCCACCCCGGGCTGGGCCCCAGGAGGATGTCACCTCCACGCTGGCAAGCATGATGCCGGAGTACAGTTCAGAGCTCCTCTGGGGAGCCAGGGGCTGAGGAGCCGCCACGTGGATCGGGTGGGCACGCTCCTTGTGGCCCAGGTCTGAGGGCTCAGGCCATGGTGAAGTGTGAGAAGGGCATTGGGCTCCGAATGCCACCACCTCTTACAAGCTCCTGTTTACAATACTTCCATGGGCCAGACACTGCTCTGAGGGTTTGGGGCTATAGTAACAAAATAAATCTTCACAGCAGGCCAGTGCGGTAGTGCTGCTATTCTGCTAATTTACAGATGGGGAAACTGAGGCTTGAAGCGACAGAAGAACCCGCTGAGTTTACATATTACCGAGCCAGGATTCACATCCAAGCTCTCTAACGGCTGTGTTGTTTTAACCATTTTCCCTCCCTCACAGAGCTCTGAGGATTAGATGAGATTATGTCTGGAAGGCACGTGCGCGGTGCGGGAGCCAGAAGGCCCTCAGTAAACAGTGGCGAGGGATGTTTTCGTAACTTGTGAAGACGATGGAGCCGGGGAAGTGTCCAGGGCAGAGCAGCCGACGCCCCGAGGCAGGCGCCAAGGCAGCTTAGCCTCGGCAGGTTCCCGGTGCAGCAATCGCGTCCCGGGAGGTGTGCCTGGCTGCAGGGGGGTGTCCTCGGCTTTGGCTAATCTCCCTGATTATGGGCGGGGTAGGCGGCGTTCTGGCTGGCCGCAGCTGGGCCCAGATACACGCAGAGCCTGGAACGCACTCTGGTGGCTGAGGGGGATGTGAGCCTGTCACCTGGGCTTCTCTCACCAGCCTGTGCCCTGGTGGGGAGGGGGGACTGCCCAGGAGGATGCAGTGTGCCCACGGCCCAAGCAGGCCATGGCCTTTGGCTCCTGGGAAAGGCTTTCAGGCCTGTGTGTGTGTGTGTGTGTGTGATGTGTGTGTATGCATTCCTGTATATGTGTGTGTGGTGTGTGTGTGTATGTGTGATATGTGTGTATGTTTGTATGGTGTGTATGTGTGTGTGTGGTGTGCATCTGTATTTATATGTGTGTGTGGTGTGTGTATGTGTGATATGTGTATATGTGTGGTGTGTGTGTGTGTGTATGTGGTGTGTGTGTGTGTGTGATGTGTGTGTATGCATTCGTGTATATGTGTGTGTGGTGTGTGTGTATATGTGTGTGTATGTATGTGTGATATCTGTGTATGTTTGTATGGTGTGTGTATGTGTGCGTGTGGTGTGCATGTGTATTTATATATGTGTGTGGCGTGTGTATGTGTGATATGTGTATATGTGTGGTGTGTGTGTGGTGTGTGTGTATGTGTGTGGTGTGTGTGTGTGTGTGTGTATATATATATATATATGGGCTGTGTGTATGTATGTGTGGTGTGTGCAGGGTGTGTGTATGTGTTATGTATGTATGTGTATGTGTGTGGCATGTGTATATGTGTGATGTGCATGTGTATGTATGTGGTGTGTGTGTGTGGTGTGTGTGTGTGTGTGTGTGTGTTTTGGGGAGAAGAGAGGGCTGTTTTTGGGGACACGGAGGTGGGCCTACATGGATAGCCCATGCTTTGCTGATCTGGTATCTGCTCCAGAGTTGAAAGCAGCGTGTCCAGCCCTCCGGGGCGTCTCACATCTGCCACTTTTTCCTCCTCCCCGAATGGCCATCGCTGCCCCTCCTGTGCTTAGCCCTGCTCTGCCTGACGCGGTGGCCACTAGCTGTATGTAGTCACACTGAGGTGGGCTGTCAGTGTAATACACATAAGATCTTGAAGACAATATGAGGGGAAAAACCCAGCCTGTTTTTTCATATTGATCACATATAGAATAATCACATTTTGGTTATATTGAGCTAAATAAAATGTATTATTAAAATTATTATTTTCTGTTCCTTTTATTAAAAGAATGTGGCTACTAGAAAACTTAAAATTACACATTGAATTACATCATTGTGTATCAGTGACATGTGGCTCACTGTATTTCTGTTAGTGCTGCGTAGAAGCTCACTGCGCAGGGAACCTTTTTAGCAAAGAATCAGTCTTGCCTTCGCAGCCTGCAGTGGCCCTTGGAGAGAAACACAGACCTCACTGTCTCCCAAAGTGCCAGTGCCGGCTCTGAACTGAGCCCCTGCGGCTCTCACTGCCGTCCCTTCCCATGGTACTCTCCCTCCAGCACAGCCAAGCGCACCCCCTCCCCCCCCGCTCTGTAGCACCCTCCCAGCCTCCCTCCCCCCAGGGCCGCCCAGAACACCTAGAATAAGGTCCACAGCCTGGCTCTGGGCCCAAGCCCTGCCAACTCTGCCCTGGCTCTTTCTCCTCTTTCATCACCCAACTCATGTCTGCCCTCGGTGGGTGTTTGCACAGCTCTTCCTTCTGCCTGAAGCCTCCTCGAGTTTCCTCTGGGCTGGGTGCACCTCCTCTGAGATGCCCCTTGACCTTGGGGTCCAAAGCTTTCCCCTCCCTCCAGCATGACAGCATCACTGGTTTCTTTCAGCCCAGGGCTTCTCACTCTCCAAAAGGTTCTTTCTTCAGATGCTTGTTTAGTTGTTTATTATTGTCCCCTCTTAGCTCAGCTGCACCCTGAGAGCAGGCACCTTGGCCGCCTTGCTCACTTGCTGTGATAGCAGTGTCTGGCACCTGAGTTCACATTTGTTAGATGGATGAATGGCTTTAGGCCTCATCATGAGCCTACGAGCCTGCTGCTGTTACTTTCCCCGTTTTATAGCCACAGAGCAGAGAAGTAACTTGTCCAAAGTCATAGAACTGGTAAAGAGCCAGAGTCAGGCCTGGGGTCCAAGGGCTGCAACATCTACATCAGTGTTTCCCAAACTTTTGACATATGTGTACCCCTCCTATAATTTTCATAACGCTGAGTACCCCTCGTACTCATTAGAACGTAGAATTATGTGCAGCTAAGCACAGTGCAGTGCATATCCCCACCAAACTCCGGTGCAACGCGTACCCCCACCAAACTCTTTCCATTCCCCTGGGGGTACACGTACCACACTTTGGGAAACACTGGTCTATATGGAACAGAGCCAAACAGTTCTGCCATGCTCAGCTGTATGACTGGTTATGCCTGGCCTTCCTCCGCCATAGCTCCCTGCCTGTGGGACCTCTGACCTGGCTCGGAGTGTGGGCTCTGGGCTGAGCAGAGCAGAGGTCAGATTCAGAAACACGGGCCCTGCTGCTGTCTGCCGAGGCTGCGCCCACAGGGAATTGGGGCAGAGAATCTGTGTAGCCCTGACACTCCCTCCCTCTCCACCGGAGGAGCCGTGACGTGGTGGTCAGCGGCCCCCAGGACCATGTTAGCAGAACTTCCTGATTGTGGAGGTGACGCTGATCCCTGCTCTGACCTTGGCTGCGCTGCCACAGCTGGGCACCAGCTGTTTGCAGTATGTGGGCTGCCACGTCCTGTCATCTCCAGGCAAGATGAGACCAGGCTGCCATAGCTGGGCAACAGCTGTTTGCAGTGGGCTGCCTGCTCAGAGTTGAATTGAAGTAGCACCCCTCTAAGGTCTCACCCCTGAAACAGGAGGTGCGGAGAGGAGGACACATATCCCAAAGGATGCCCAGGAGACAGAGTGGCATGGAGGGGCAGTGCCCAGAAGCCTGTGCAGGCCCCGCTGCCGACTGCACTGGCTCTGCTAGGCCTCGCTGGGCCATGGTCCCCCAGGCTCCGCTGAGGACGAAGGGACAAGGCAGTGTGTCTGGAGGCTCTCTGTCTGGATTTACTGGGTCTTTTTTGTGTGGTAGAAGCTGATCTTGGAACCAGAGAATCTGACCACGGTCTTCCCTGCCTTGGCTCAGAACAAGGGAAGGCGAAGTGCTTCGCGTGGCTATCAGAGCGGAACCCAGGGACCTGCAATCAGGCTGCCGGGACGGGGCAGGGACACCGCTCAATAGGAGTGGCTCTGAGGTTCCTGCTCTGAGGCCACCTCCTCACCCTTGTCCAGAGGCCCCTGGTCCCCGTGTGCCCTCAGCACCAGGAAGGCACGTTTGCTCCCGGAGAGAGATCTTTGGGGAACCCACCTGGCCCTGCTCCACAAGACACGTGACCAGGGACAGGTTGGATGATTGACAGCAGTGCAGGAAGGGGCTAGGAAATCGTTACGACTGTGGCCAGAAGCAGCGAGTGACCAGAGTGACCGTGCGGCTCCACACCCCACCAGATGTCCTCCCCTCCCCCGCACCCCGGCCGCGGGCCAGGCAGCACGTGGCTCGGGGGGACACCGCCTTGCTCCTCACCTGCTCGTAGACGGTTTTCATCAGGTCCACGAAGCTCTGCAGGCTTTTCAGCTTGGTCTCCAGTTCGGTCCGTCGAAGACACTCCGTGTCCAGGTCCTGGGGGTGAGAGCAGTGGTGAGTGATGGGAGAGGGAGTCGGGGATCCCAGGGCGAGGTGGGGTGGGGGCCTTGGCTTCCTGGGTCAGATGGGAGCGATTCCCAGGGGAGACCTGACTCAGAGCCTGGAGGAGGAGCAGGTGGGGACAGGGATCTCTGTGGTCTTGGGACTCGAGCCTCTGAGGGCTTTGCTGGGGGATCCTGGGGGGAATCAGGCAGAGGGTCCCTGGGGAAGGAGCCCGAGGCAGGCTACCTTCTTCAGCTGGACGAAGGTAAACTCCATGTCTGTGCGCTTGGAGACCTCCTCTTCGTACCTGGGAGAGAGACACACACAGAGAGAGGTGGCTCAGACGGATGTGGTGAGAGCTTGGGGTTCGGTTAGCCCTCCCTGGGCAGGGTTTAGGGCCTTTGCCGTCTCATTTGGTGCCTTGTGACAATGAGCAAGGACTAGTCCTTCCTTCAGGTAGATGGAGCCCCTCTTCTTCTATGACACAGCCCTCCTCCCCCAGTGACACCCTCTGTTGGCTCTGGGGAGGCAGGCCAACCCCTTCTCCTTCCTGACTCTCACCAGTCCTCTCCTGCTGGCGTCTGCCCCCTTGCTAGCTCTGCTCCACACTCGCCTCCTCCAGGAAGCCTCTCGGGATTGGTAGCCCTTTCACCCTGACACTTTGTTCCCTCATCTTCCCCCTAGCTCCTCCCCTAGGAGTCTCAGGTCTGCATAGAGCATCCCGTTCATCCCTTCCCTCTCCCACCTCTACCCTTCCCTGCAGCCCCTCCCTCCTCCCTTCTGCTGGATGGTGGGACACCATTCCATTGTGCCCCCCCAGAGGGAGGGCAGGAGGAATGTGGGCTCTACAGTCAGACGAACCCTCAGTGTGGTTTTGGGCAGGAAACTCTATCCCTCCTTCCTTGAATCCCTGATCTACAGGGGTGTGCCTGTGTGCACGTGTGCATGACCGTGTGTGTGTGTGTGTGTGTGTGTGTGTGTGTATGTATGTGTGTGTGTGTGTGTGCGCGCGCGCATGTGTGCCGGGGCCGATGCAGTCCCCTCCTGACTCAATGACAGACGTGCACAGTCTGCATTCAGCTAAGATGGCCCTCTCCCCTCAGCTTTGCCTCCTTTGCCCAAGTCCACCTTGTGTTTGGAACAAGGACACTGTTGGATGGGGAGATGGGTCCCTGCATCCCTGACCTTACCCTCTTCCTCTAGTCCACACGTCTGTCTTGGCTCCGCAGGGGGGTGTCTGCCAGCCCCGCGCTCCCCCACCCCCAGCCCTGCCTGCCCCAGGGACGTGGGGGTTCTGTGGCTTCCTGCTTGCCCCCTCCTCCCCAGGGAATACCTGAATCACCGGAGCTCTAATTACAGCCGCCTGCCCAGTCCCTGACCTCCCAGCAGGGCAGCGTCACCCTCCCACATCAGCTGCCGCCCCGCCGCCCTCAGGCCTTCTTTCCCGCCGGCCTGGCCTTTCCGAGGAGCTGAGGGGGCTGACCCAGGGGTGAGGGCCCGCAGGGCGCTGGGTCTGAAACTCAGGGTGCTGCTTCCAGAGCCTGCAAGGGGCTCTGAGGGTGCAGGCCACGGTGGCGGGGGGAGGGCGGGCCAGGGACTTGCCAGGATGGACCAAATGCCCAAGAAGCTTTGCCTCAGAGTCCCCCGCCAGGAAGGCTGCTGGCCCCATTTCACGGATGAGGAAATGGAGGCCCAGAGAAGGGTCCAGAGGCTCGTGTGGTGTGTTGGTAGCATGGGCCCCAGAGCCAGGCCAGGTGGGCTCCAGCCGGGTGACCTTGGATAAGCTACTTGTGCATGCCTCACCCCTGACCAGGTGATGTTGTGAGGATGAAATAAGCAAAAACATGACTGCTCACTGCGTGCGAGCGTGGGGCCTGCTAAACCTACTGCTACTGCTACCACGTAAGCTCCAGCCCTCAGGCCTCAGCATGTTCAGAGAGAAGCGGGGGAGGCCTCACTGCAGACAGCGCTCAGGAGGTTCTCGCATGCGCGGCCTTTACAAACCCTCCGGGCCAGGCGGACTTGAACAGGCCTCCCCCTGGAATCGGGGGACCCGGGGAGTTCCCTGTCCTGGGGATCCCAGATGGGAGCAGCCCCTTGTTGACTGGCCCTCCCCACACAAGCCCGGTGGTCAAACCTTCCCCTTCTCCCCGCCCCCCTGGATAGGGGAGCTCTGCCCGCCTGGGGAGAGCTGTCCAGGTGGGGCCTCTGTGGTGCCAAACTCCTCTTTACCCCTCCCTGCCTTTCCCATCCTTCTGTGCCGCCTTCCTCCTCCCTCCTCATGGGCTCCTCTGGATTTGGGCCCCAGCTCACGCCCTGAACGCCGTGCTCTTGTGAAGGAAGCAGCCTGTGCCTCTAGCTGGGCCTCTGCTTCTCTTTTAGTAAGCAGAGGGTTGGCTAGCTGATCCCTGGTGTCCTGGCTACATCCAAGCTTGGGGAAGTCTCCATCCCTATAGACGCCATGCCCCTCATTTCACCTCCAAGTTCTGCCTGTCCCCGGCTCCCAAACCCGTTCCCAGCCCTTTCAGCTCGTGGCACCCACACCCCCCTTGCTCCCCAACTTGTTTATATCTGGGAGCGAGGCTGATCTCATCGGCCCGGAGGAGGCAGGGCACACCCTCCCTGTCAGGGCTTGGGCTGGCGTCTCCCGGCTCCTGGGGGCCCGGGGCTCTGCCAGGCCAGGCAGCAGCTTCCCGGGCTCTGGCCTGCAGACCGGGAAGCCCTCTGGCCTCACTCCCCTCAACTCAGGTGGGTTCCCTACCTGGAGAGAGGACGGGGAGCCCTGAGCCTAAATAGTGAAATCAGGCAGCAGATGGAAAGAAACCAGGCGGCGGGCCAAAGGAGGGGGCTGGGCCAGATTAGAACGAGCAGTGTTTGTACAGAACTTCCAGTTACAAAGTATCTCCGCAGATGTGATCTGGCCGGGCTCATGGGAGCAGCCCTCACCCTGGATGACATGGGCTGGGGATGGGTTTTAGCACGCACGGCTCGGTGACGGAGGACCAGCCCCTGGCCGCTCCGGGCCTGTGATTCTTCCCCCACGTAACCCAAGGCCTTCCCCAGCTCTGCCTTCTCTGATCCTCTGAGGGCCAAAGACCGACCAGATACCCGTGAACTGAGTCATAACTTCCCCCATTACGGTCAGAGTGGGCAGTCAGGTTCCTTAGGTGTTTATCCAGGGCCTGGGAGAGCAGAGCTGGAGTAGAGGTGACCTCCAGGCCAGGGAGGGGCCCAGCAATAAGGACCAGTCCTGGCCAGGGCTGCAGATCACGCCTGCTGGCTGAAAAGTTCCCGGCAGACTCGCCGAGGAGAGAACCGGGGCCCCCTGAGTGGGGAGCGAGTCCTGTGAGACCGGGCCCTCTGAATGTGGCCTGAACAGAGGAGGTGGTGCAGAGAGGCGATGGGCACGCTAAGCCCCAGCCCAGGTCCCAGGACAGGCTGCCCACACCCGCCAGCCCTGTCTGCTGGCTGCCCTGGAGACAGCAGGCCTCAGCTCAGGTCAGTGGGGCTTGGGGCAGGACCCAAACACCGGAGGTGGAGAGGGGAGCTGAGCCACATCCTGTCCACCCCTCACCCTGGCTGGAAACCAGACCCGAGAAGGGGCTGTAGGGCCAGGGTCTCTCTGCCCTGCCCAGCCTCCTTGTCCGGGAAGCCCTGGCCACTGTCTGATCAGACAGGGTCATCTGTCCTCTGAGCCGCCCACGTGTGTGTTCTGCCTTTCTAGACCGGCCAGTGCAGCCCAGCAAGCCTGCGTCAGGGACGGCCCTGTGTGCCGGGCGCTCAGCCTCCTCGGGGGTAGGGGAGTGGCCACTCGTCGCCACACGGAACTCTCCACCTGCTCCTCACACCAGCCCCACTTGGTATCCACCCAGACAGGAGGAAACGGAGGTTCTCCTGCTAAACAGCTGGACAGAGGCCAGAAAGCAAGGGTGGGAGGGGGCAGGGAGTCAGTCTCTTTCAGCCTAGACCTAGACCAGGTCTCTAACCACTGGGCAATCCCGCCTGCCAGCTTGTTCCCCAAAGCCCTAAAAGCATAGTGCAGGCTGGGGCTGTGTCTCCCTCATCTCTCTGGACCCCACCGAGGTCCGCACACACCACCTGTGGAAGATGGCTTCTCTGTTCTAACAAAACCCACTGCTTCTGTCTCCTGCCTGCATCCGCTCGCTTCCCTGCCAGCCCATCCAAGCCATCGTGACATCCCACTGCCAGTGGGATGGGTGAGCCCTCAGTTTATCTGCTCCTCACCTGTCTGGACCTACCACCCTCCCGTCAGACTGACAGCCACCTGCTCCCTTCTTGGGGCCCCTAACCCCTTGGTGCCGGGACAGGGATAGGCCTCGGAGGCAGGAGGGGTGGCTGGGCCTGGCTTCTGGACAGTGTGGGCTGTCGTGGCATGGACACAAGAGGAGGGGACAGGGGACAGTGGCTGCAGTGGTTAGCTGCCCATCACGAGCCTGACCTAGTTGTACGCGTCCCTATTTGGGAACTGTGGATTCACTGCTATATTCCCTTGGAATCTAGAATACTGCCCAGCACATAGTATCAATAGGTCCTCACTGAGTATGTCTGGAGTAAAGAAATGTTTCCTCAGGAAGCTCCCTCTCTGTCTGGCTTGAGAGGCCCGGACCTTGCTCCTGGGTCCCCACCCGCAGTCCCTGCCCCCGCCCCCGAGGGCGAGGGCCGCTCTACCTGATCCGGGACTCCTCCACCTTCTCCAGCATCTGCAGCAGGTTGGCCTCCAGCTGGCCCCGCTCCTGGCTCACCGCACGCAGCTCGTCCTGCAGCCGGCCCTCGTACTTCTGGTACAGGTGCCCGAGGTCGAAGGCCGCGGAGCCCTGGCTCTGCAGGAAGCTCCAGCGCGTCTCCAGCAGCTGGTTGCGCTGCTCCAGGGCCTGCACCTGGCAGAGCAGGAGGGCTTCGGTGACGGGGCCAGGCTTGGGCCCCGAGGCCCCGGGCCCGCCATCGCGCCCCCTCGGGGGCTCCCCTGGGAGGTGGCAGCTCATCGGCGCTGCGCACCCATCTGGGGCCCTCACTCAGCGCTCAGATGGCACCTCTGACGACTGATTATTCCAACGGAAGATGGCGAGATAAGGAGGGATCCAGAGAGATGGAGCCAATTAGCACAGCTTCCTAGGGGAGGCACGGGGCCAACTCCATGAAGGAAGGGGAGAGGGCATGAGGGTGAGGGCTCCTTGTGCTCGTCTGGGGCTCGGGTGGGAGACTCCAGGGAACCTGAGGTGTCATAGGCCCGTCTGCCACGCACCCTCCCTCGACGAGCCTGGTCTCATCTTGCCTTGAAAACGCAGCAGGGTAGGGCCTGGCTACTGCTTAAATGCTAATCCTCCCGGCAACCATGGGCTTGTAGCCTCGCCGAGCCTCAGTTTCCCCACCTAGAAGTTGGGGATAATGTCACCTGCCCACAGAGGTGGGCCGTTGGGGGAGGAGCGCCTGGGATGTACCTTGAAATAGAAACAAGAGCAAGCGATGATGTGGCTCCTTCTGGGTATCAGGCCTGTTCTAATGCTTAACGTGCTAACCCCATCCAATCCCCACCGCAACCCAAAGGGGTATTGCTGTGAGTTGCACTCCGCCCACGAGGAACCAGGGCACAGAGAGGTGAACTTGACCGGGGTCACAGCATTAGCAAGTGGTGGAGCAGGTGTGGACTGCAGGGAGTTCGGGATTAGGATCTTTTAACCACTGCCACCTGTGCCTCCTGTCTGCTGCTGGGTCACTGTGGGCCCTGTGCCCACCTGCCCTTCTGCCTCTAGCTTGGCCAACTGTGCCTTCAGGAGAGAGGCTGGGGCTGTGGGCTCAGCTGCTCCTCTCCACCTCCGCCTCCTTTGCACTCTCCTGTTCCACGAGCACCCTCCACCTACTCCTCAGCCACCAGCAGGCCGCCAGGGTCCCCGCCAGTGCTCTCCTTCCCTCACCCAGTCCTGGCCGGCCAGCCTGGGCTCCCCTGCCTCTTCCTCATCCTGCCTGTCCTCTCCAGGTGCCAGCCTTCTTGGGGTCGACCCTTTTCACCACTCCAGTCCCTCCCCAGCCCAGATGTGCCCCTACCTCCCCTCCTGCAACAACCCCCCCCCCCCCCCCCGCCTGCCCCTGCCCCACTCCCTCAGTACGAGGCCCTCAGTTTATCTGCTCCTCACCTGTCTGGATCTACCACCCTCCCGTCAGACTGACAGCTGTCTGCTCCCTTCTTGGGCTCCCTAACCCCTTGGTGCCGGGACAGGGATAGGCCACGAAGGCAGGTGGGTGATGGGGCCTGGCTTCTGGACAGTGTGGGCTGTCGTGGTTATGAGGATGCAGTGAGGACAGCCCCATGGAGTTCCCTGTGGCTGCAGGCGAGGAGCTGGGCCCCTTGTTGCCCACTGCTGGCACCAGCTCCCAGAATCACAGCCGGCGTCTTGGATCGGCTGGTCTGTGCCCTCCAATCACAGGGGAGGAGGTGGGGGCCCAGGGCAGGCAAGTGCCTTGTCCAGTGTCACCTGACAGTGGCTGCCTGTGCTGGACCTTCAGAGGTTCCCTGTTCCTCCTGAGAGTGGGTGCCGGGTGGGCCTCCTCTCCCTTTCTCTGCTCTGCTCACGTCCCCGACGGCCGCATGCCCTTGGCGTGCCAGTGACAACGTCAGCAGGACTACCGGGATAGTGCCCCGCTCAGGCCCACTGGCGCTGGGAAGTTCTGCTTGAAGCTGACCTAACAGGTTCAGTGGGGGTGGCAGTCAGGAGGGTTTCTGTTGTGCTTGTGTGTGTGAGAGGGTTTGTTGGAGGGGAGGTATCCGCTCGCCCCACCTCGGCTCCGTTTTGACAAGCAGGAGCCGTGTTTACTCTGAGGGTGGGGTGAGAGGAGAGACGTGAGGCTCCTTCCTCCACCCACAGCAGCAAAACACCCTTTACACCCGACAGTCTTTCCCGTTCCCGAAGTCTGACCCCAACACCCTTTGTGCAGCACTAGCTCCTGGGAGGGGGGGTGCATTTGGCCAGCCAGTCCAGCCGGGGGGCATTTTGGCTGTGGGGGTGGGGACCGGAGCAGCCCCCTCTTCCTCCTGCTGCCCTTGGGGGAGCTGCCTGTTGTCTCAGTGGTGGGGGATGCACTGAACCCCCACAGAGGGGCTGCTCCCTCCCAGAACAAAGGCCAGGGAGGCGCCAGGGTAATTGTCACCGTTCCTCCCAGGCTCTCCTTCCCCTTCCTCCCCGCCTGGCTGACCCCCTGCTCTTAGGTCACAGGGTGGCAGTGCTAGGAGGGACCTCAGAGAGCAAACCTGCCTCCCGTTGTGCAGATGAGGAAACAGAGGCCCAGACCTCACTGTGACCCACCTCCCTGGCACCCAGCAGCTAGACCAGGTGGGGAGAACTGTGCCTTTTGTCCTGGGGAAGCGAGCAGCCCAGGGCCCCAACCCACGGGCTCCAGGCAGGCGAGCCTACAGGCGTGTCCGTGGGCCTGCAGGTCCTACTCCTCAGGTGAGGGGTTTGCCAGACCCCCTGCCTTCAGCCAGAGGTTGGCTTTGCCCCGGGAGCCCGTGGGCCTCTGGGTCAGGAAGGGCTGGTATGTGCCTTCCTGCGTGCAGGCAGGGCACGGCTCCGGTGACTTCCAGAGGCCACGGAGGCCCAGGGGAAGACATGTGCCACCCTGGTCTCCAGGCATGTCACTGCCCCTTTGAGTTCCCCACTCAGGCTGACTGCTGGCCCTTCTCCTGCCCCATCTCCATTCCTTCTGTCGTCTGCATGTGAAGGCGAGTGGGCCCAGCCAGGGCCTCTGCGGGATGGTGACACTGCCCTCTCCCTCAGCCTCCTCTCCTGCTGCTGCTTCTGCTCTCCCCCTCCTCTCATCGCTGGACCAGTCCTCCCACTGGCATGCGCTCAGGGCCACCCTCAGAGCAGGAGGGCGAGTGAGCTGCAGAGGGGGTAAGGCCCAGGAACACAGCCTGCGAGCGGAGGAACCAGCACTGCTCCAGGGCCTTACCCACTCCTGGTGGTCTTCCCCAATACCACCCCCCTCACCTCTTCCTCTTCCTTCGCCACGACCAAGGCCCTCATGGCCTTTACAGGGAGATAGAGAGGGACCTGAGCTAACAGGTCTTTTCCATAGGATGTGAGTCAGGCCAGCGGGCTGGACAGGCAGGTGGAATGCTTGGGAGGCCATCCCCACTGTCCACCTGCTCTGGAGCAGGACGGCAGGCCATGCCTCATCAGCTATGCCTGTGAGGGCCATCCTCTTGGCCAGCTCAGAGCTCCTCCCTAGCTCCTGGGGGGTGGGGTGGGTGGGGGCGGTGTGTGACCCCAGGCCACACAGCACATTGTTATCCCTCAGAGACCAGAGTGTCCTCACAGGCTCTCTGGTTTCTCTGGGAGAGGGGATGTGGAGGGACAGGGGATATGGAGCCAGAGCGCCCTTGCCTGTCCCTTCTCTTTGCCTAGAGCTCCCATCCCTACACTGGTTATGGCATCTCACCCCCAGCCCAGCCCATACATGCCTTTCAAGCCCTTTGCTGCACTCCTACCCACTGAGCTCCCCCTCTCCACCCCCCCCCCCCCGCCCCAGCAGGGTTCTCCCCCTCTTCTCATGGAAGGGGCTAATGGGCTCATCACGGGCCAGGCCCATTTATGGTGTTTTTAACAGAACAAACAGCACACCTGGTGCATGGTAAGTGCTTCATGCAGTTTTTTTTTTTTTTTTTTTTTTTTTTATGATCCCATTTGATAATGACAAGCCCATTACACGGATGTGTACTGAGGCTCCGAGAGGTTAAAGAATTTTCCTGGTCAGAGGTTGGGGATGGCAGGATTCAAACCCAGTAATTTGGCTCCAGATTGCACACTCTTAACTGCTGCCTGCTTCCGTCCAGGCCTCACGGCCTTTGCAAGGAGATAGAGAGGGACTTGAGCTAACAGATCTCCGCAGTATTGGTGAGTCAGCTGAGATTCTCCGGGCGGAGCCCCAGCCACCAGGGCCCCCCGAGGGCTGGCACCCAAGGCTCCCTGCGCCCACCCTGCAGAGCCCCTGTCTCAAGGCCCAAGCTTGAGGGCCGGGAGGCTCCAGTCCTGCCAAAGACCTTTGAGGGCATTGTCTTGGCTCCTGGGCACAGGCCCCAACCCCTCAGGCCCCTCCCTGTACCCGCTCTCCCCCCTTCCCCCCACGGCAGAGGCACAGAGTAATATCAGCTCTGGAGTTCAGGGAACAAGCCACCTATCCTAGCCAAATTACATAGCTCGTGAAGCATTCCTTTTACGGCATTAATCTGGGTTAGGAGAGGAGGTGGCTCTGCAGGGACCCGCCTCCCCAGAGCAGCAGGCTGCTCTCCTCCAGGCCAAGCGGCCCACAGTGCAGGCGCTGCAGCCGCCACCCAGGCACTCCAGGTATGGGTGCAGGAATGCTGGTCTGGGCACGTGCACGGGGGAGAAAGAGATGGTTCCTCTCTCCAAAGAGACTGCTGGCTTTGTGTCTCACAGACCCGAGTTCAAGTCCAGCCTCGGACTCGCTGGCTGTGTGACCTTGGACAAGGCACTCGGGCTCTGGATGGGCAGTTTCCTAGTTTCCTCGTGTGCACAGCGAGGGAACTAGCCTGGGGGTGTTGTGTGTGGGCTGACTGACACACATCTGCTGAGTTCCCACACAGAGCCAGACACCAGCGATGCTGTAAGCCTGCTGCTTCCTCCCTGGGCCCCTCCCTGAGGGCACCCACCGCCTGGGACACTGGCAACAGCAGAGGAACCCAGAGGCAGGGAGAGCGAGGAGCAGGCGAGAATGTGTCGGGGCAGAGGGGTGGCTCTGGCCTCCTGGTGGGGGCGGCAAGAAGGGTGAGTTTTCCTCATCAGTCAAATGGGCATAAAGTGACTTCCTTCCTAAGGTGGTTGAAGGGAAGAGAGGTAAGTGTGGAAGCGCGCAGCACGGGGGCTGGCACATCACAAACAATTAGGTAACAGCAGCTCTTGCTGTTGTGACTATTATTTTTGGGCAGGGCCGGAGGGAGCAGAGCCGAGGGCCGGGCAGGAGAGGTTTCTGGAAGGAGGTGAGTGAGGAGCAGGTTTGGGGAGGGGACAGGGCTTCCTCACAGCTCCCGAAGCCCTTGCCCTTGCCCTGGGGCGGAGGTGACATGGGTGCCCGGACCAGCATGCTGCCCTGGCATTGGGTCTGGGAAGCCAGGGTTCTGGGGACTCGGTCTGTCTACTCAGGTGGGGGCCTGGCCGGCTGCCTGCCTCTGACGTGCCGCCTCCATCCCCTGCATTCCTATCTCTTGACTCCACAGCTGCACCCCACTCAGCGGCCTCCTTCCTTCCGGAACCCCACAGGCTCCGGGGCTCGGCCGGTGCTCCTGACTCCAGGCAGCTGAGCGGAGACAGCGGGCTGGACAGGAGGCCGGGCCCTTGGGAGGTCATCCCCACTGCCCCTCTGCTCCAGAGGAGGACAGCAGGCCATGCCTTCATCGGCTGTTTCCACGAGAGGGCCTTCTCTTGGCCACACTCAGGGCTCCTTCCTAGCCCCTGCCTGGGGGGAGGGTGACCCCAGGCCACACAGCACACTATTATCCAGACATCTCTCAGAGGACATACTGGGGTCTCCCCACCTCCCACCCCCGCAACCCCACAATGCCAGGATGGCTCAGGACTTCCCTGCATACCTCTCTACTCAGAGCATGCGGCGTTAGCATCGCCGGCACCCCATTGGCTGGGCGCGGGGGTGGGGCGTGATGCTCCAGAAATCAAGAATTCAGCCACCTGCCCGTCCTTCCCTCTCTGGGCCCTCTTCCCGCTTCCCCTTACCTTGCCGATCAGGGAGGCGAATTTATCGTTGAGGACCTTCATCTCCTCCTTCTCTTGGTTCTTCTGCTGCTGGATGGCCGGGTCCACCTTGAAGTCCAGGGGCACCAGCAGGCTGGGGTTCACCGTCACCTTGGGGATGGTGCCAGCGGACCAGCAGCCAGTGAGGCTGCGCGAGCTGAAGCCCAGCCCGGGGGCTTCGCAGCTGCCCCATTCCGAGGTGCCAGGCCGGGGGCCGCCCGCTGGCGCCACCTCACAGCTGCTCAGGCTGCTGAAGCCGACCACGCAGGAGCGGCAGGCCATCGCGGCCCCCTGGGCCCGGAGCGGGGGCGGGCGCGGGGATGAGCGAGCGAGGGGACCTCTGTGGGGTGGCGCTGGCAGCTGGCTCCCTTCGCAGGCCGGCCGGGCTGGGGACTGAGGAGCAAACACCTGTCGCACAGTGCTCATTAGCTGCGGGAGGGCGGGCACCTCCCAGCCCGACCAACCTGTTAGATGGTGAGGTGATGTGGTGCTCCGGCCCCTCCCCCCGCACCACTCCTCCAGGCCCGGGATCTGCCTCGCTGAGGGGGTAGGTCACGGCCCCCAACCCGGCAGCGCCTGGCTCCAGGGAGGGGGGCAAGTCTGAGCTGGCTGGGTAGGTGTGGGGAGGCGGCAAGAGGAAGGGGCGACTCAGCAAGGAAGGAGAGGAGGGAGAGAGAGAGTGTGCGCTTGCCTCTCACCGCAGACCTCACTGCATACCTGAGGGCTGACGTATCCAGGCCCACATACTTCTGGAAGAAATGAGGCAAGCGCAGGCCCTGGGCTCCCGCGTACAGGGCATCTCCCTGAGTGAGTGTAGGGCTGCCATGCTGGGCACCGTGCCAGCCTAGTCCTGGAAAATAACACCTTTATTATTTATTTTCCAGCTGCCCAAGAGCCTCCATGGCTTATCTCCTCCTCCTTCTCTGCCATGCTTCCTCCCTCTCCGCCCCCTTCCTTCCTTGGATCTACCATTTATTAACCACCTACTAAGTGCACCCCACTGTTGCAGAGGCTGGAGAGAAAATAAATGGTCCAGGCCTTGGACAGTGAGACATGGGTTTGGGACTCAGCTTGGCCACTCCCCACCGGTGTGACCTCAGGCAGGTGCTCGGTTTGTGTCCTCACGTGTGAGATGGGTGCGGAGCTGCCAGTCCCACAGGAGGTGGTGACGCAGAGAGCCGCGTGGGGGCTGGCACAAAGCCCCCAGGAAACGGGGGCTGCGACCAGTGCCTGCCTTCTGGGAGCTGAGTCTGGTGGGGGAGACGGATGTGACCTGACCTCTAGGCCCCTGCCTCCCCGCTTCCCATTCCTCCTCCCTCACTTCTGCATCTCCTTCCCCTGTTTCATTTTAAATATGAAGTAAAAAATGGAAAGACGACAATTTGCTCCTACAGAGCCTCTGATGGGCAGGAGAAGGCTCAGCCTCTTTTCTCCTCCCCCCAACCCCCACCAGCCGCACCCCCTCCCACCTTCCTGAAGTTCCAGGGGCCCACTCTTCCTTCCCCTTCCACGCCTCCCCTCCTGGGCCTGCCTCTTCCTCCCTCCCTGGCCTGATGTCCCTGGACGCTCTCCCCGGCTGGCTGGCTCCGTGTGCCCTCCTTGGACCTGGCGCACCACCCTGGGTGGAGCGGTCACCGGGGAGAGGAGTGTGTCTGAGAGGGAGTCCAGGGGTCTGGGGGTGGAAGAGCTCTCAGCCCCCTCTGGAACCGCAGGAAGAGAGGCTGGAGGTGGGAGCCACTGCAGGCTCCCCCCCCCCCCCGCCCCCCCCCCCCCACCAGACCTCCTTCCCGCACACGAAGGGGGCATTTCTGGCTCACTAAGGCACAGCGATCTGTGAGTCTATCCTGAGGCTGCATTTCAGGCGCTGATGCTGGGGTGGGCTGACGAGGTACTTCTGAGTGACGGGGTCACTGCAGTGGTGTCTGTTTCCACGTCTGACACGGCTGCCACATTCGGCACACACCTGCATGGCCGCCCCGTGTCCCTGACCTGGTATCTGGATGGCATGTGGTCAGACTCAGCACCCGGCCCTCCCCACCCAGCTGCCCCTGCCCTCTGTGGGGAAGGGGATGGCAGGCAATGGCCCCGCAATCAGGTGACCGCGGGCAGGTCAGATATGCATGCCCCAAATGCTTTGCATGGATTAGCTTCCTTAATCCTCATCTGAGGTGGATGCTTTCATTCTCGCCAGCCTGGTTTGCAGAGGCGGAGGCTGCGTCTCCGAGGAGTTAGGTGACTGTCTGAGGTCCTGGTGCTGGATCGGAGCCCAGACAGTTGGAGCTGTGGGCCCTTCCTCTCACCTTAGCCTCTGAGCCTGATGACCCCTGGAAGGGGCGGCAGATAAAAAACGAAGCTCTCTTCTTACTGTGTGGGACTCAGGTCTACCTTCTAATCTTCTTCTTTTTAAAGTCTTTAATCCTTACCTGACGATAAGTTTTTTAAAAAATTATATTTTTATTGATTTCTGAGAGGAAGGGAGAGAGAGATCGAAACATCAGTGATGAGAAGGTATCAGAGATAAACTGCCTCCTGTACGCCCCACAGTGGGGATCAAGCCCGCAACCTGGGCATGTGCCCTGACTACGAATCGAACTGTGACCTCCTGGTTCATAGGCCAATGCTTATCCACTGAGCCACACCAGCTGGGTGATACATTTTTTTATTGACTTTTAGAGAGAGAGGAAGAGAGAGAGAGAAACATCGATGTGAGAGAGAAACATTGATTGGTGCCTCCTGTATGCACCCCCACCAGGGATTGAGGTCACAGCAGGTGTGTGTGCCCTGACCGGGAATTGAACCCAAAACCTTTTGGTGCATAGGATGATGCTCCAACCAACGGAGTCACCTGGCCAGGGCCCTTCTAATTTTCTTTAAGTTGGAGGCCCGATTCTTCAGAGTGCCTCTGTCAGCCCCCGGGGTTAGATAGGCCACAGGTAATGCTGAGTCCCTGGCTTCGAGGCTGGCATTGCAGAGCAGTCTCTGGGCCTGAGCACGGGGCGGCCTGCTGGAGGGTGGGCCCTGGGGCTGAGGCCTGGGCTGGGCCCGGCCGGGACCTGGAACCCACTGCTCCTTCCTACCTGGCCCGGCAGTCTCTCCTGGGAGCCATCAGAGAGCTGTCTTGGCTGTCACAGCGGTGGCTGCCAAACAGGAAGAGTAGTCAAAAGGCCCCAAACAAACACAGCTCCATGGAAACACCTAGCCCTTTCCTTCCTTCCCCATCTCTCCCCTAGCTCCACCCTTCCCCTCCCCCCCGCCTCCCCCCCCCCTGCCAACCCTCCTGCATTGGCATTGTCCCGGGTCAAGTGTCCAGGCCCCTGCCTTTTCACCCCCAAGGAAGACCTGCCTTGATACGGAGCCCCGAGCTCCTAAGCGTTCAGGTTTGGGGAGGGAAGACGGAGAGTGGGTATCATTTTCCCTCTCTTTGGGGATGTTGAGGTACCTGGGCAGATTCCAAACGCCCCCTGAGAGTACTCCCACACAAAACTGAGCCTTCCTTGGGGCGTGAGCTTGGGTGACCCCAGGGGCAGAGCAGCATCAGTGAGTGAGGCCCTCTGGGACTCTGGAGGCCTGTCCTGGTTGGCCCTTGCATAGTCCGGGGGACAGAAACCTCAGCGACTCCTCTCTCCTCCTCGAGTCTCCAGCTTTGCCTGTGGTCCCCTGAGCTGGCAACAGGATGTGATTCTGATCTTTCAGGAGGCAGAGAGAAGGCAGGAGGGGCAGGGCCAGAGGCAAGAGCCAGAGGCAAGGAGAGGGGGAGGTTGGGGCTGGGCTCCCTAAAGAAGCAAAGGGTTTTCTCATTTGCTCTGCCTTCTCCTGCCTTCCATTTCCCTCTTCACCTCTCTCCTTCCCACACCTCTGACCTTCTCCCTCTCATTCTCATCCACCTCTTCTCTCTTGTCTTCCTGTCTACCTGTCCCTCTCAGTGTCCTGCCCACTCAGAGCCTTGTCTCAGCCCGGGGCGAGAGGCGTCTGGGCAGCCCCGCCGCCGGGCGGATGGCATGATGGGAATGGCATCCTTGTGTCACAGTTTCAGCACCTCCTCATTCCCTCTGGCCTGGATCCTGGCCTGTGGAGCCGGCAGGCCTGGGACAACGCGGGACAGCGATGCATAGTTGTTGGATGAATGTCTCATGAGCACATCCCAGCCTGGCTGGGACTCTGGGGCAGGAGAGGGCGCTGGGAGAGACGGGCAGGGACTGTGGTGGGAAGAATCCTAGACTCAGGGCATGATTCTAGGAGGTCAGGCTGCTCCTTCGGGAAGGCTTCCCAGACGAGCCTGCCCAGGTTCCTGTCCATAGCTCCTCTTCTAAGGCACCTCCGCGGCCAGGCTCCCTGGGTCAGGGCCTGCTCCCTGGCGAGGCTGGATGACTTGGTCTCCTTTGTCCGGACTGTCCCTGTGGGAAGGCCTGTCCTGAGGCCGCAGAAAGGAGGCCCTGCCCAGCGGCTGCGTTCCGGGGATGGATGGCCAGGCCCGGGGCTGAGGGCCTCTGAACCCCTATGGCTGTGTGGAGAACACCCCTGAGGGCCCCACAGCTGGGGGTAGGGGAGCTGGAAATAGATTTGGGATGGGCAAGGGCCAAGAAAGGGGAACTAGCAGCGAGAATAGAGAGCTTAAGACCGTGTCTAATAAGCCTCCTCCGCCTGCCAGGCAAGACTGTGGAGACCCGAGAGGCACCGACCCCATGAGGGTGTCTGCAATTCCTTCTCGGAGGGAGGCAGGCAGTGAGCAAAGGCTTGGAGGGGGAGGGAGAGCTGAGCAGGAGGCAGGCGTGTGTTTCAGGCTGAGATACTTGTGGGGGTGAGAGTTGTCTGTGTGGGACGGTGCTGGTTACGGCAGCCAGTGTCACTGGAGTGTCAGAGATGCTGGGACCGCTCCGGGCCGGGGGAGGACACCATCAGAGCATTTCATTACTTCACATGAGGTCCTTCCGTGGCTCCCTGAGGACTTGGGGGTAAAGCCTAGAAGACTCATCTTGGAACATCAAGCAAGATCCTTTGCACCTGTTGCCCTTCTTTCTCTTTGGGTCTCAGCTCCTCTATACCCTCCTTCCTTCCACATCCCCTGCCAGCCTCCATCCCACCAAACTGACCCCATCTCTCTGAACCTGCCGAGCGATGCCACGTGTCCGCGTTGGACAGCGCGGACATGGACCACTGCCATCATCTCAGGCACTTCTACAGCGCTGGTCCCTCCGCCCGGCAGCATCTGGGACGGGCCAGGAGGCTGCAGGTTCCCGCAGGCTGGGAAGTGCTCAGGAGGGATAGGGGGGCAGCATGGGGTCACGGCAGAGCTCTGGGCAGGAGACCTGGTTTCAGGTCTGGGCTCTGCCACTCTCCAGCTGTGTAGTTTGGGGCCAAATGCTTGGCCTCTCTGGGCCTCCGTGGTTTGTAAACATCGGTTGTAAGAGCCACCTGGGTAATGGTGGTTGTTTTTATTTTCATTTACATTTTGTTTTCCGGTTGAGCTCATCAGTGTTTCTCAAACTGTTGCCAACCCCCTCCCAATGCCAGGGAGCCCGGTTCCTGGGCCAGCCACGTGCTGGGAGGCTGGGCCAGTGTGGGCCTTCTGGAATGAGGGCAGGCCGCGGGAGCGGGGAGGTGAGCGGAGGCTAATTGCACTTTCCTGCCGTCAGAGCACCGAGCCCAATTTGTAATTGTTTGCTGTTGGTTGTTTATGTGTCCTGCCTCCCCGTGGCAGCTCCGTGGACACAAGGCCTTTGAGGTGCTCTTACTGCCCCCGTGTCCCAGCGCCTGGCACATTCCTGACCCATGCCAGGTGCTCAATGGCCATTTCCTTCTGGAACGAGTAAGAGGCCACCCTCTCATACAGGCCACTTATTCTCTTCGTGGTGACAGGGTACGTCAAGACAAGAGCTTTGGGTGGCCTGGCCAGCGTGGCTCTGTGATTAAATGTTGACCTATGAATCAGAGGTCGCAGTTTGATTCCCGGTCAGGGCACATGCCCAGTGTGGGTCCTGCAGGAGTCAGCCAATTAATAATTCTCTCTCATCATTGATGTTTCTATCTCTCCCTCCCTTCCTCTCTGAAATCAGTTAAAAAATATATTTTAAAAGAGCTTCGGATAGGGTAGATGGCCAGACCCCAGGTGGGCTGGAGGAAGGTCAGGACGGGGTGTCCCCTGCACCTCTGGAGGGGGCTCTGGAGCCTGCCCCACAGGATCTGGCTGCTTCCCTGCCAGGCTGAGCTGGGCTGACGAGGACCAGCCCGTGGCCGACATTGGGTTTTGGCCCAGGGTGTCACATATAGCACCACCAGTTGACCCCCAGAGACCTGGCGGCAGTTCCTGCTCAGCATTGGGAGGGGGCTCTGACAACCTCCTTTCCTGGCCGAATGCCGTCGGTGGGGAAGAAGACTGATGGTCCTCCCTGAGAAAGAAACAGGCAGAGGAAGGCTCCTAAACTGCTGAAGGCCCATGAGGCCTAGGGTTTGGGAGGCATACATGTAGGGCCCCATAGGCCCCCGCCCTCTCCCCAGGTGTCCCGCCTGTGGGTGAAGCACGTGGGGGTTGGTCCCCCTGAGCCAGGTGTAGGGTAGGCCCAGCCGACAGAAAACCTCAGCCCACGCCTGGCGATGTGGGTGCTGGGTTCATGTCAGTGGCATTTGGCACGGTTGCCAGGCCTGCTTCTGGGTGGAGAGAGCAGGAAGGAGAATTGCACAAAGGGAAACTTGAAACAGGGCCCCACTTCCTCTGGTGGCTCCCGCCTCCCAGGCGGGACTAGGGAGATGAGAGAAGAGTTGGAGTGGGGATGGGCCAGGGACAGAAGCTCCTTGCTCCTCGGACACACCGGGCCTTCCTATCGGCTTCCTTCCTCCATAGGACATTCCAGGTCCCGGCCACAGCACTCTCAGTGGCCTCCTGCCACTTCCCATCCCACCCCTGTGCCTGGCTGCTCAGCCCACAAGGAAGGCTTCTTCCAACAACCCCCATTTCTCAGCCCTGAGCCAAACACCGTGTTTCTCCTTCGGCTCACAGGCACCACCTTCCTGTCTGCCTCCGAGCCTTCATGTTGGCCACTCAGCCTGCTCTGCCTGCCCCTCCCTGCAGAAAGTTTCCCCAAATAGACCCTCCCATGTCCTTTGAGCAGAAGAGCTCTTGCAAGCAGCCCCCAGGATGAAAGTTTTGTTCACTGCTCTATCATCACCGGCACATGGTAGGTGGGCAGGAAATAGTTGTGGAATTAAGGCACGGTGCCTGCTATTATTTAGCACTTGTTTCTGTGGCCCCCTTAGTCAAGGTCTCTTTCTTCTACCACTAGACAGGGCTGGGGACCCTGATTCCCCTCCCCCGAGTGCCCCCAGGCCAGAATCCTGGTCCCTGGAGAAACCAGCCCGCCACTTGCCTACCCTGGCAGTTGTGCCTTCATTCAGGAAATGCTTTCTGCCTCTCTCCTGGGTGCCTGATCCTGGGTGCCGGGCTGTGGGGCAAACACAAGGATAAATGAGGAAAGTGGTGACTGGTGTTCTCCTCGCATCCGGGCTCCCTCTGCCTCTCGCGCAGAGCTTTCTGAACTCTGGGGTCTCCTCCCATCCAGCCGCCCCTGGTCCCAGTGTCCTTGGCCTTCTGTTCCTGGCACTGCACACGGCTCTTTAGGAGCTGTGCCCTCCCCGGGGCTGCCTGCAGAGAGGATCAAGGAGGGACTGGAAGGCAAAGCGGCAGACAAAGGCAGGGCAGGGGAGTGGTAGGGCTTTTGGAGATTCTTATTTGTAAGCCCAAACCGCTCCCCAAGCTTCAGCCACTGCCTTTATCTGCCCTGATAATAGACCGAAACCATGTTCAGCTCCCTGTTGAATAATCAGTGCCCGGCCTCTGCCAGTCTGCCAGGATGGCAGCAGCCCAGGGTGGCGCTGGGTGCAGTGCCAGCTGACTTGGGCCAGCCAGCCCTGGGGAGCCTCAGCCAGGTGGGTAGCCATCAGCCTGCAGACCACCCCGCATGCAGGGACACCCCACCTCCCAGGGGTCCTCAGTGCCCACACAGGGCATGCAGGCGTCTCTCAGGACAGATTTCAGGGACTCAAACATGGCGTATGGTTCATTCATCTTGGCCTCCCTAGTACGAGGTTGGCACATGGGAGGAGCTCAGAGGTGAGACTTCATGTACTCAGCACCATTATCAGGGCCTCCCGTATGCAGGTAGCTGGGTCCACTCTCCCCCGCTTCCTCTAGCTTCTTCCCCAGCACCTGTTGGGGATCTCCTGATGCAGCGAGATGTGGGCAGTCTCCGAGGAGGCCACGGAAGGCTGTTCCAGGGCCAGCCCCGCTCGCCATGTCTTAGGGACAAAAGGAGGAGGAAGTCCTTGCACGTGTCCCCATTACTCAGATGAGTACCCAGGCTCACAAACACTGCTCACACAGGTGGCCCGATTTCATCTCCCCAATGCCGCTCAAGGGGCGGGCACCCTGCATCCTGTTGTTCAAATGTGTGGGATTTGCACCGGTTCTTCTACCTCCAAACACAGCCCCTGCCCAGGCTCCTCAGGTGGGTTAGAATCAGCCCACAGTCAAGGTTTTGGGAGAAGCTGGGAGGAGCTGGGGGCTGGGAGATGAGAGAAGAGTTGGGGTGGGGATGGGCCAGGGACAGGAAGCCACAGTGGGTGGGCGAGGAGCCACAGTGGGTGGGCTCCAGGCTGGGCCTCTGGCCTGGGCGCTGCATGCAGCAGACCAGCTGGGGGAATCTGACGACCTCAGCGCCTCTCGGAGGTGCCATGGTTGCTCCGGAGTGGAAAACTGTGCTGGGCGAGACTGGGGGCTAATGAGTGTTTTCCAGAGGGCGATTCCTCTACGTGCGGCCTATCTTCCGGGCCATCGTCCCGCAGTCTGCACTTAGCAGGGTAATAGCTGCCTGGTCCGGGGCCTCTGCCCACCCTCAGGCCCCGGGGCCTGCAAACAGATGGCAGCAGATGAGGGAGAGGAAGTCAGGGAGAAGCAGGAGCAGCGTGCCCTGGTCCCACGTGCTTCCTTATCTCAGGTCACTGCGGGTGTGTGTGCCCACGGCCACGCGGATGGCACTCCTCAGGCCAAGGCCTCGCCGCTGCCCAGATCCGGGGATCCTTACCGACACCCACACCCTCTCCCAGGCTCTACTGACCTCAACGGTGAGCCCTGCCCAAGCCCGCAGAGACCACCTCTGCCGCCCCTCACCCACCTTCCTCCTGCTGCACAGCCTCCTCTGTCCTCGGGAAGCCCGACAGGGAGAGGGCAGTCCCCTTGACCAGCAGCTCCCTCCGCCTCTGAGTGCGAGGCACAGTGCTCCGTGTCCGGGGGCTTCCTACAGCCATGTGACTGCAACTCTTGTGGTGGGAGTTGTTTTTAGGTTGCAGTTGAGGATGCCGAGTCTCTGGGAGGTTAATGTCGTGTCCAAGTTCACCTAGTGTGGCAAGCAGAACGATGGACCCCCAAAAAGTCCATGTCTTCATCCTCAGCACCTTTGACTGTTACCTGACATGGCCAAAGGGCCTTTGCTGATGAGATGGAGTTAAAGATCCGGAGATAGAGAGAGTATCCTGGATTATCCGGGTGGGTGCAGTGTGATCACAAGGGTCCTTCGAATGGGGGAGAGGCAGGCAGAAGAGTGATGGGACGTGGGAAAGTCTCCACTGGCCATCACTGGCCTTAAAGATGGAAAGGGAGCCTAGGAAGGGGGGTGGCTTCAGACGCTGGAAAAGGTGGGGAAACGATCTTCTAGTACCCAAGGAAGGAGCACACCCCTGCGGGCACCTTGCTTTCCGCTCATTGAGATGCATTTGGACCTCTGACCTCCAAACTGTAAGATAAAGCAGCTCTTGTTTTAAACCACTGAGTTTGTGGTGGTTTGTTATAGCAGCAGGGAACTCATACACTTAGCTGGCGGCAGAAGTAGGACCTGAGTGGAGGACTCAGCCTTTATTCTGTCCTCTTCTTCCTTACCTGCCTGGTGACTATGCTCTGCTCACCACACTAGGCTGCCTGTCGTCCTGTGCCCTGCCCACATTTTCTGAACTGGGAGTCGGGGATGTGGGGTGTGGGTGGGAGGGAAGATTCAAAACTGGAGCAGAGGCTAGATTTCAGGTACTCTCCTCCACTCTCCTCAGCCTCCCCTTCTGTCTCTCCCCTACTGGGGCTCAAGAGTTCTTAGAAACATGCCCCAGCAGCCCATTTCTTGGTGTCAAGGGAGGCAGGGCATGTGCTAGCCATTAGGGCTAGGGTGCAGAGGGGGCTAAAGTGCTAAAACCAACATGGTCCCTCTTTCAGGGCAGGCCCAGGCTTCCTGCTCCTGCACTTAGCATGGTATCTTTCTCCTGGTGCTGGACCTGTGAAACAGGGAGTGGGTGGAATGGGAGAAGGTGTCTGAGAGTCCTGTTGTTCTGAGGCCCTGGAGGGTCTTCACGTCTCTTTCAGGGCAAAGGGATGTCTGTGTGTTGGGTACCTGGCTGTGGAAGGACCGAGGGGCCCGGCTCCCCTGCCTGTATGGAGTGTCTTTGGGCCGTGTGTCTGTTCAGCCTCCGTGTGAGTGTGAGTGTGTGTGTGTGTGTGTGTGTGTGTGAGTGTGTGTGTGAGTGTGTGTGTGAGTGTGTGTGTGTGAGTGTGTGTGTGAGTGTGTGTATGTGTGTGTGCGTGAGTGTGTGTGAGTGTGTGAATGTATGTCTACTTACACTTCTGTTTGTGAGTGTGTGAACAGGCGAATGTGTGAGAGTGTGTGCTTTCTCACCCGTGTATGTAAGCGTGTGAGTGCGAGTGTGCACCCCGCCAGCCGGAGGGGGTGAGCCGGATCCCTGCACCCGCCAGCATTGCCTCACCCTGTGACACAGCCGCTAATGACTGTTTGCCATTGTCTGTCAGGGTGGCATCACCTGCACTAATGACAGTCTCCCTTGCCTAATGACCCGGCTTCTGCCCCATCATTTAGAGCCACAGGAGCACTGAGGCCCGTGGCCAGAGAGATGTTGTTGAGCTCAACACATTTCCCACTGGGGGTGAGGAGACCCATAAACCCACCCTCCCCCACAGCCTTCTGGGTGGGCTGGAAATTTCAGGGGCCCGGTGGCATTCCTGGGCGGGAGCCGGGGTCTGGGCCCTGCCTCCATCTATCTGCAGCTGGGCAGCTGGGCCAGGCCGCTTTGGTCTGCGGGTGAGGGCGTCTGGGCAGCCCAGGTGTTCACAGAGTCCAGGACAAGCCACCTTGTATGGAGTCCCAACACCGAAGCCTCTTTTGTAGACACCACTAACATGCCTTTTATTATTGAAATCAAGTTAAAACCAGCTCTGGACTCGGAAGGGAGGAGCTGAGGAGGGGCTGCTGGCCCCTTTCTGTGAGTCGAAGCAACTTGTTGAGCCTCTCATCGCTTTGAACCTACTCTGTTGACTGTTGTTTCCTACTTACAGCCTGCCTCCTCCTCCCAGAAGCTTATCTAGATAAGCAGATAAGCCTGGTATCTGCCTGTTCAGCAGGGACTCAGAAGGTTTCCTGGGTTAAGGAATGCACCCTAGAAGTGACTTGCAGTGCCCCATTCTGCAAAATGGGGACGCAACAGTGCCTGCCCCAGCCCTTACCACTCTCTCCAAGTGGTTTTCTTATTGTGCCCATTTCACAGATAGGGAGTCAAGGTCCGGAGCACTGGGTTGTGCCCACCCAACTAGGAAGTGTGAGAGCTGAGGCTCAGCCCCAGGCCCGTCTCTCCCTGCATCCTGCTGCAGCGTCTGAGGGGAAGGCCGGCTGTGCTGGTGGGGGCACACATTGGTTCCAGAGGCTGGGAAGAGGGCACCTGGTCTCAGAGGGGTTTGCAGCGCTCCAAAGGGAGAAGCTTCCCTCAAAGAGAAGCTTGCCTGTTCGAGGTACTCACTCCCCAGAGACTCCTACCCTGATACGTCCTTATCTGGGGCCTCCCCGGCAGCCTGGGGGGAATTAGAATAGGAGAAGCTTGCTTATGGTTGGGAGTTTCTTCAGTTGCTTGATTATCAAGAGGAGGGAAAGAATTGCAGGAAGCGAGATGTGACTTAGATTCCAGAGCCTTCCTGGGCACTCCTTAAGAGCAGGGACTAATCCTGTAGAATAGTGTTTCCCAAAGTGTGCTATGCATCCCCCCAGGGGTACGGGAAGAGTTTGGTGGGGGTATGCATTGCACCAGAGTTTGGTGGGGATATGCACTGCACCGTGCTTAGCTGCGCCTAATTCTACGTTCTCATGAGTACAAGGGGTACTCAGCATTACGAAAATTATAGAAGGGGTACACATATGTCAAAAGTTTGGGAAACACTGCTCTAGGAAAATAGGTCTAATGAACACAGGGGACTTTCAGGACCAGCGAGGACCATGGGAGATGCGGCTTTAGGAGAACATTTGCAAAACAACATATAAACAAGGGCCCAGGAATACCGGGAAAACGCTGGACCCAAGCGCCGAGGGGACACGGTAGAAGCTAAGAGCTGGGTGGGGTTGGCTGGGGGAGGCTTCCCGGAGCATGAGGTGTGGAGCAGGATGGGAAGGGACAGGCTTCCTTGGGGTGGAGGCAGGAGAGGAGCAGCCGGCACCCACATCCTGGCGGTGGAAGCATTCCTGATCCCTGGCTCAGTGACCTGGTACCCTGGGAATGTGCCCTGCCTCCTGGGTGGGGGCTGTCCAGCCGCAC